CTGTGCCCTGCCAGCAAATTTTTTTTTGTTTGGTAAATGAGGACCAAATGGCAAATATTTTAGGTTTTGTGGGCCAATCATCACAACTGCTCAGTTCTGCTAATGTAATGCCAAAGCAACGCTAGACAATATGTAAACAAATGAGCATAGCGTGTCCCAGTAAGATTTTTTATTTTTATTTTTTACAAAACCATTCTGCAGGTCAGATTTAGCCCATAGGCCAGGCGCGGTGGCTCACACCTGTAATTCCAGCACTTTGGGAGGCCAAGGTGGGCGGATCACAAGGTCGAGAGATCGAGAACATTCTGGCCAACATGGTGAAACCCCATCTCTACTAAAAATACAAAAATTAGCTGGGCATGGTGGTGCGTGCCTGTAGTCCCAACCACTTGGGAGGCTGAGGAAGGAGACTTGCTTGAACCTAGGAGGTGGAGGTTGCGGTGAGCCAAGATCTCCCCACTGCACTCCAGCCTGGCGACAGAGCGAGATTCTATCTCAAAAAAAAAAAAAAAAAAGGTTTGGCCCATAGGTTAACAACCCCTGTCCTGAGATGTCCTTTCCACCATCATATCTGTGTTCCAGAAAGAGGAAGGAGGAAGTGGAGGGGTTGAATTTTCTCATAAAAATATGATCCACAAGTAGAAATAGTGCAGCATAGTCACACAATAGAATACTACACTACAACAGGAATGAAGGAACCACAACTATACACAACACGGATGAATCTCACAAGTATAATGTTGAGCAAAAGAAGCTGACACAAAATATTGCATATTGATTAATTACATTTATATAAAGTATAAAAACAGACAAAATTAATCTATGGTATTAAAAGTCAGGTTGCCTCTGTAAGGGATAGTGACAAGAGAAGACTTCTGAGATCTGGAAATGTTCTATTTCTTTTTCTTTTTTTCTTTTAGAGACAGGGTCTTACTCTGTTGCTTAGGCTGGAGTACAGTGTGCGATGGTGCAATTGTTCTATTTGTTGATCTGGATGGCATATGTTCCCATGCATGACTGTGTCCACAAGTGAAAATTCACTAAGCTTAACATTTGTGTACTTTCCTGTATATATACTCCAATAAAAAAAAAAAATTTGTATAAATTAAAAAAAAAAGTGATTCTGAAGTTGCAATGACTTCTCAGGTCAATTTCGGCCAAAACTTAGTCAAAGGACCACTTATGACTGCAAGGAATCTGGGAAATGTAGGTTCATTAATTTTTTTTAATTTGTTTATTTATTTTTTCTTTTTATTTATTTTTTAATTAATTGATTTTTATTTATTTATTTATTTATTTAAGATGGAGTCTTGCTCTGTCACCTAGGCTGGAGTACAATGGCATGATCTCACCTCCCTGCAACCTTCACCTCCCAGGTTCAAGCGATTCTCCTGCCTCAGTCTCCTGAGTAGCTGGGATTAGAGGTGCACACCACCATGCCTGGCTAATTTGTATTTTTAGGAGAGATGGGGTATCACCAGGCTGGTCTTGAACTCCTGACCTCATGATCTGCCCACCTCGGCCTCCCAAAGTGCTGGGATTACAGGCATGAGCCACCACACCCGGCCTGGGAAATGCAGTTTCTAGTTGGGTGGCCATATGCCTTTAAAATTTAGAGGATTGTCTTATTAAAAGAAGGGAAGAATGTAATCTGAGGGGAAATTAGCAGGCTGTGCTACAGTCCACACAGCAGTCACAGGCCCATGACAGTTATCAAATCCTGCTGGGCATGACCTGTGAAGACCTCCACCCTGGCAGTAGAGTAAGTTCTCTGATTAGCCCACCTGGCTGCCCTTGCTACTATTTTCCGGGAATAATTCCCTTGACCTTAGTTCTCTGTATTATCTGAGTTTACTCTGATAGGTTATTTGATTACTATGGAGCATGGTCACACCTTTTTGTCCTTTTTCCCTTTTGCTTTTTTTTCTGCTTGGAACTTGGATATAATGGCAGGAGCTGCATCAGCTATCTTGGGGCCATGAGGGAATCTTAGAAACCTCAGCCCTGATTTCCTTGGTCTTTTGACATTAATAACAGGTTACTTCTGACATTCTTCTATGAGAAAATAAACTCTTATGGTTTAAACCACTGACATTGGGTCTTTGTTTCCCAGAGCCAAACACAATTCTCAACTGATATGGAAGGCCTCCCTAAGAAGATGACATTTAAGCTGAGGCTCAAAGGGTCAGCAGGTGGCAGATACCAGAATAGCAGAGGAAAGCCAAAAGCCCTTTCCACTCCACTCCACTGCTGACTGTATATCATCTTCTAGGCAGGGAGATAAGGGACTAGAGAAGTCAGGAGAGATTTCAAGGTAGGATTTATTGGCCAGGAATGATACTGATGCTGTGAGGAAAGGAGGGCTTGGTGATGTACTCTCATCTCCATGTGTACGTTTCCTTCATGGCACTTGTCACACAAAGGTTGTGATGACATGAGGAACACCCATCTGCCTGTTCTGCTAGACTGCAGTCTCCATGAGGGCAGGGACAATGCTTTCAACTGTTTATCACTGGCATAATGCCTGGCACATGGCAACCATGGAACAAGTTATTGGATAGGCCATAGTAGAAAGAGCTAGGGTAAGAGGAGGAAGAGAAAAGGCACAGAAGCGGAAGAGTGGAGAACCTGGGATTGTGCAGGCTCCTTATTAAGGGGACACTATCCCATTAGAGTACCACAACACTCCTCCGAGGCAGACAAGGGGGATTGTGGTCAAATGGTTGCTTCAGGCACCCACATGGCGTGGGCTGTCCAGCTCACACTGGCTATCCAACAGTCTCTCCTGGCTCTCCTGGCTACCCAACAAGCATGAGCTCTGGGTTGGCTATCTGTCATACTCCCCTCCTTAGCCATAACAATTGATCCAAGAGATGGGTACGTGACTTAGCTTGGACAATTAGAGTCATTTCCCAGGAATTTTTAAACAAGAGCTAAGAAAAGTAACTACTTCCCCTGCAGCTGTAAGAGTGTGAGCCTGGGTTTCCTATCATCTGGTCAAACTTCCTGGAGGTGGCCAGCCTGGGGTGATGAGCCTGACACCCAGAGAAAAGCAGGGAAAGAGCCACAGAAACAAAACACCAAGGATTTTCAAATTCCTGGTTCCCATATGCCTCAGGTCAGCTCCACCCTGCCCTTCCTAGTTTATGAGCCAATAAATTCCTTTTGTGTTTAAGAGTGTTCGTGTTGAGTTTCTTTCTTGAAATCTATCAACTACCTTTCTCTCAAAAATGCACCCTGAATCTGACCATTTCTCATCGTCTCCACTGTCACCAGCCTGGTCCAAACTACTAATATGTTTTGCCTGGATGAATATAACAGACTCCCAATGGTCTCCCTGTTCCTCTCTTGCTCTCTTACAATCCATTTTCCACCCAGAGAGCCAAGTGATCTTAGACAAATGTCAATTAGATCACGTCACTTCCCTGCCTAAACCCTCCAGCAGCTTCTCATCACTTTTAGGGTAAAATATAACTCCTTACCCTGTTTTACAAGGCCCTGCATGATCCGCTCCTGTCTATCCTCCGACTTTATTCCATGCCACTTCCCCCTCATCACTATGATTCAGCTATATTGGCCACCTTTTTGTCCCAGACACATTAAGCTCATTATTTCTTCAGTGTCTTTGTACCTGCTTTCTTTTTTTTTTTTTTTTTTTTTTGAGATGAAGTCTCACTCTGTCACCCAGGCTGGAGTGCAGTGGTGTGATCTCAGCTTACTGCAACCTCCGCCTCCCAGGTTCAAGAAGTTCTCCTGTCTCAGCCTCCTGAGTAGATGGGACTACAGGCGCCTGCCACCACACCTGTCTAATTTTTTTGTTTTTAGTAGAGATGGGGTTTCACCTTGTTGGTCAGGCTGATCCTGAACTCCTGACCTCAGGTGATACACCCGCCTTGGCCTCCCAAAGTGCTGGGATTACAGGCATGAGCCATCATGCCCGGCCTTTGTACTTGCTTTTTCAGGTCTTTGCATGGTTAACCCCTCATTATTCAGTTTTTAGTATAGATTCACAGAGGGCCGGGCGCGGTGGCTCAAGCCTGTAATCCCAGCACTTTGGGAGGCTGAGACGGGCGGATCACGAGGTCAGGAGATGGAGACCATCCTGGCTAACACGGTGAAACCCCGTCTCTACTAAAAAATACAAAAAACTAGCCAGGCGAAGTGGCGGGTTGCCGTCAGTCCCAGCTACTCGGGAGGCTGAGGCAGAGAGGACATGGCGCAACCTGGGAGGCGGAGCTTGCAGTGAGCTGAGATCGGCCCACTGCACTCCAGCCTGTGGTGACAGAGCGAGACTCCATCTCAAAAGAAAATAAAAAAAAAAAAAAAAACATGTTCACAGAAATGATCACTGCTATAATTATCTTTTAATTATGTTTTTGCTTACTTTTTGTTGGCTGTCTGTCTCCCCTGCAGTTTGAGCTCCAAGAGAGCGGGGCTCTCACCCGTCTTATTTACCATATATCTACACAGTAGATACTCAAGTAACATTTATTCATTGAATAAATGAATGCATTAAAAATGAGGAGGAGCTGGAGTTCCAGGCAGCCCCTAGATTCCCTGTTGGGTCTTCTTTCCTCTGCCCCATGCACACACAGTATACACTGTTGACTAATGTTCAACTCATAGAGGAGTTTGGGCTTGACATGTGACCTCACTCAGCCTCTGTTTCATTTGTGAAGTAAGAAATAAGAGTGGGCGGCTGGGCATGGTGGCTCACGCCTGTAATCCCAGCACTTTGGGAGTCCAAGGTGGGCAGATCACGAGGTCAGGAGATCGAGACCATCTTGGCTAACACGGTGAAACCCCATCTCTACTAAAAATACAAAAAATTAACCGGGCGTGATGGCGCGTGCCTGTAGTCCCAGCTACTTGGGAGGCTGAGGCAGAAGAATTGCTTGAACCAGGGAGGCGGAGGTTGCAGTGAGCTAAGATTGCACCACTGCACTCCAGCCTGGGTGACAGAGCCAGACTCCATCTCAAAAAAAAAAAAAAAAAAAAAGACATAGGAGTGGGCTTATGTGAAATAAGCCCGCTCCTCACTAAACCAACAATGATTGCTTAAGATGCACAGAGCCAGTTGATGGAAAAGTCCATAGACTATCAGAGTTGAATGGCGCTGCCCTGGTGGGAGGAGCACCTCATTCCTGCTTCCCCACCAAATTGCTTGCCTTGGCCTGCTTCCTACTCTCTGGGTCACTGGTGCTCACACAGCCTTTCCCAACCCCCACCTCCAAAGGTCATATTTTACAGCTCCTTGTGAGGAATTCACATGATGCCATGACCTTCACTATGAGAAAGCACAGGCTGTAAAAGGCCAGCCTGGCTCCCTGCTCCGTGGTTAAGTATTGATGATGATATTGGGCAATAGAGACCTGGAGTGGGCACACCACATATCCCCCTGCAGTGATGGAACCCACAGACCACAGGTCCTCTGCAGTTCATTCTCCTGCCTGTCCAGAGGATCCAGATGTTTTCTCTTTACTAGAGGCCAACACGTAACAAAGTAAGCACTTGGACTCCTGGTGCTTTCGGATTGTGAAAGTCAGGTGGAGTCTGTTTGCACTCTGAGTCTACTCATTCAAGAGGTCAGTCACCCCGGAGTGATAGAGAAAGCTCCAGGCCTGGGTGTGTGCTAAGGCCAGAGCTACCAGATGGGTTCAGCTGCCGCAGGCTCTCCAGGCACTGTCCCCTAAGTGACAGCTGTTACTGTCTGGGAGAGCTCAAGTGCAAAGACTATCCTGTTCTCCCATAAAGAGGAGAAAGAGGAAGATACAGAAATTGGTGCTGCTCCCAACAGCAGATCAAGGCAGTCCTCAGGAACTCAGGATCCAGGGTGAGTGTCCTCATCTTGCCTTGGGGATGGGTGGCCCAGGTCTTTGGCAGAAGTCACAGTCCAATAACATGGTTAAGCCCTGTTTAAAATGCAGGGATCTCCCCGAGGGGCTTAAGGAGACAAGACAACTAAATGCAGTACGACATCCTAAATGGGATCCTGGAACAAGAAAAGAACATTAAAGGCAAAACTAATAAAATGCAAATAAGGCATAAAGTTTAGTTTAATCATGCAAATGACAATATGATACTCACTCTAGAAGCAAACTGGATACATGCTTTGATAGAAATATGTCTTTGGCCAGGCGCAGTGGCTCACGCCTGTAATCCCAGCATTTTTGGAGGCTGAGGCAGATTGATCACCTGAGGTCAGGAGTTCGAGATCACCCTGGTCAACATGGTGAAACCCCATCTCTACTAAAAATACAAAATTGGCCAGATGTGGTGGCTCATGCCTGCAATCCCAGCACTTTGGGAGGCTGAGGAGGATGGATCACCTCAGGTCAGAAGTTCAAGCCCAGCCTGGCCAATGTGGTGAAACCCCATCTCTACTAATAATACAAAAATTAGCTGGTTGTGGTGGCGGGCGCCTATAATCCCAGCTACTTGGGAAGCTAAGGCAGGAGAATCATTTGAACCCGGGAGGTGGAGGTTGCAGTGAGCTGAGATGGTGCCATTGTACTCCAGCCTGGGCAACAAGAGTGAAACTCTGTCTCAAAAAAAGAGAAAGAAATATGTTATTTGTTTCTGCAGCATCTGACAAAGCCAGAGAGGGTTGACTCTGGGTTCTAGATTTGTATCCAGTTTGTCATTTTAGTTTTTTGTTGGTCAGTATGTGTTTATTGTAACAATATTAAACATATTTTAAACATACTTTGGCCAGGTTTGGTGGCTCATGCCTATAATCCCAGCATTTTGGGAGGACAAGGTGGGCAGGTCGCTTGAACTCAGAAGTTCAAGGCCGGCCTGGGCAACAGGATGAAACGCTGTCTCTACAAAAAATACAAAAATTAGCCGGGCGTGGTGGCACATGCCTGTTGTCCCAGCTGCTCAGGAGGCTGAGGGAGGAGGGTCACTTGTGCTCGGGAGATGGAGGTTGCAGTGAGCCGAGATGGTGCCATTGCACTCCAGCCTGGGTGACAGAGCCAGACTCTGTCTCAAAAAGCAAAAAACAAAAAAAACCACTCCACTGTGGACAGTAGCTTATCTGCATCTTTGCACACTGATCTGATTAGTTCCATTAATTAAATATCCAAAATTGGAACTGTTGTCTCAAAAGGTACAATAAATACCTACATCTAAAAATGCATACAAAGTCTGGGCGCAGTGGCTCACACCTGTAATCCCAGCACTTTGGGAGGCCAAGGCGGGCAGATCACCTGACGTCCGGAGTTCGAGACCAACCTGGCAAACATGGTGAAATCCCGTCTCTACTAATAATACAAAAATCAGCTGGGTGTGGTGGCACATGCCTGTAATCCCAGCTACTCAGGAGACTGAGGCAGGAGAATTTCTTGAACCTGGGAGGCGGTGGTTGCAGTGAGCCGAGATCACACCATTGCACTCCAGCCTGGGCAACAAAAACAAAACTCCATCCCAAAAAAAAAAAAAAAGCATACAAATAGACAAAATATACATATAAATACATTAAAATGGAATTACATGTATTGTTCTCATGAAGGTAGTATATACCCGTAAGAAACCACACAATACAGAAGTGGTCAGCGTGCATGTCCCATGTGTCTAAATCTCATCCCACACCCTAGAGGAAGATTGTGTTTGGTTTCTCGACTTCAACACTTTTCTCTGTGAGTTCAGGGGGTTTGCATATGGGACAGGGCCTGTGGCTGATGCTACTAATCAATCCAGGCACTCTTACATCTGAGACTTGATGGAATGTCACAATCCTTCTTGGACAGTGCTCTGGACAGTCAGTTGGAGCTAGAACACAAGATCACATCTGTTGGCCATTCCTGTAACTTTGTCTTTCCATGATTTTAGATGGGTAGGTAGGCAGATAGATAGATAGATGGATGATTGATTGATTGATAGATAGATAGATAGATAGATAGATAGATAGATAGATAGATAGAATCTCCCTCAAATGAGTAAGTAGGCAGTGTGCATGTGAGTCCTTGAAAGTCTAAGAAAAGGCCAGGCACGGTGGCTCGGGCCTGTATTCCTAGCACTTAGGGCGGCTGAGGCGAGTGGATCACCTGATGTCACGAGTTCAAGACCAGCCTGGGAAACAGGGTGAAACCCCATCATTACTAAAAATACAAAAAATAGCCGGGTATGGTGGCAGGCACCTGTAGTCCCACTACTTGGGAGGTGGAGGCACAAACAAGAACCGCTTGAACCCAGGAGGCGTAGGTTGCAGTGAGCTGAGATCATGTCACTGTACTCTAGCCTGGGTGACAGAGCGAGACTCTGTCTCAAAAAAAAAAAAAAAGTCTAAGAAAGGTCTTTTTTTCTCCCTGACTTCCGTCTCCATCTTGACATATGAATGATCATTCACATATGAAAAGCTTAAGCCAGTATTGTATTTGTGTCAAAATATTTTCCCTTACAATTTGTAGATATGCCTTTTTAGTTTTCTCAGAGCGTTTAGTGCTGGAGGAAACTCTGATATAAAGCTAGTCCTTTTGTTGATACTCCGATTTTCTGTCTGGCTGTTTGCCATCCAGTTGTTTTTGAATGCCCCTGGCTGAGCGTCCAAAGGCTATTTGGGTCTGAGATTTTTGAGCTCCTAAGGCAGTGACAGAGTGTGAGGGGGCCTGAGAATGCTTCGATCCTCCCTGTACACTTTTTTTCTTGGTGTCCTATGGCATGTTTTATAATTGATCTGTTCAAAACCCTTCTCTTGTTTTATTTTAGTTACGTTTATCTCCATTCCTGCTCCCTTCCTCCTCCTCCCCAAGAGACAGTTTAATGTGTTTAATGTGTGTCCTTTTAAAAAATGTGTTATTGGGCCAGGTGCAGTGGCTCACTCCTGTAATCCCAGTACTTTGGGAGGCCAAGGCAGGCGGATCACCTGAGGTCAAGAGTTCGAGACCAGCCTGGCCAACATGGTGAAACCCCATCTCTACTAAAAATACAAAAATTAGCTGGGCGGTAGTGACACGCACCTGTAATTCCAACTACTTAGGAGGCTGAGACAGGAGAATCGCTTGAACCCAGGAAGCAGAGGTTGCAGTGGGCAGAGATAGTGCCACTGCACTCCAGCCTGGGCGACAGAGTGAGACTTCATCTCAAAAAAAAGCAAATAAGCAAAATAACTTAGTAATTTTAATATTGGCCCGAATATTATATGTTGTCAAAATTAATTTCACCTATTTCTTTTTGTTTTTTAAAGTATGGATGCTAGAACATTTTATGTTAAGTAGTAATAGTACAGGCAGTACAAGAAGATGTCAAAATGTCTGACTGTTTTGAGACTGACTGAGGTTCAGTTTATTATTAATAGTTGGGACGGAAATAGGCCTACACGAAGTAAGGGATTTATCCAGAGAGCATGGGTGCAGGCTCGTCCCTTGCAAACAACAGAAACCAATTCTGCTGATAACTTGTCCAAAAAACAAAAAACAAACAAAGAAGCTCTCGGGATCGGGGCAGGGGGTGCCCTCTCAGCATCAGGAGCCCGCAGCTGTTTGCCTCTGGCACTTTTCCCTTTTCTCCTCTCTGTGCCGTAGGCGTGCCAATTCCCAGGAGAGAGACGTGATAGGCCCAGCCTTTGACACGTGGGGGAAACACAGGCCTGTGATTGGCTACCGCATGACACTCAAGGGACAATTGCTACGGCAACGCGTGGGCGCGCTGTGGGCTCGTAGAAGCCAGGTGGGGACGCTGGACAGGCGAAGACCCGAGATGTCCTTTGCAAGGGTCCCAGAGCCCGTCAGTGGCTCAGTCATTCTCACTCCCAGATCAGTGCTCCTCCACACATGCGATGGCTTTTAATAAAGATTTCAGTCACCTCACTTCTACAGTCTCTGCCCTTCCAGGCTCCACGTGCTCCTGGGTTCGTTCGGGTCGTTTTGGTCCCATAACTTTGGGCCAGAGGAGATCTGGATTTGGGCACGGAGGGAGATCAAACTCGGGTAGGATATCCAGTCATGCTCTCTGCTTTGTTTCCAGGGGTCTTCAGGGCTCCTCTGCCCAGGGGCCAGAACCGAGGAGGCAAGGAGGGCTGCTGGGGCTAAGGGGCCTAAGGACCTCGTTGCCAGCGGTACACACCACCAGCAGCAGGGGCATGGAGCACAGTGAGGGGGCTCCCGGAGACCCAGCTGGTACTGTGGTGCCCCAGGAGCTGCTGGAAGAGATGCTTTGGTTTTTTCGTGTGGAAGATGGTAAGTGGTGAGAGATTGACGGCAGGGGTCGGGGTGTGCCCCTCAACACAGAGCAGAGTTTAGCTGAAGGCCCTGACACTGTCGCCCCCTCCAGGTCAGGCGGCACATTTCCTCCAAGACAGGGACTCAGTCTGGGGTGTCTCAGTACCCAGAGGGGTCTTGCTGGACCGCCCCTTCCTTTTCTCAGGGTGTGGTCGCTTATTTACGCAGCCCTCCAATCATCACCACATTTATTAAGCTCCTACTCTATACCAGACAGTGTTCTCAGCACTGGGGCGACAATAGTGAATAAAATACGATAAAAACCTCTGCCTTCATGGAGCGTACATTCTAGTGGGGATTAAAAATAAACAACTAAAATGCATAGTGCATTGGTGATGAGTAATAAAAAGAAAAATTAAACAGAGAAAGAGAATAGGAAGTATGTAGCAAGGGCAGTAATGTGGTCAAGGAAGGCCTCACTAAAAAGGTAACATTTTTATCATCAGGAAGGTGACTTGCAGGAAACTAAGGAGTTAGCTATGCAGATTATTCGGGGGAGGAACATTCCTGGAGGGAGGACAGCAAATGCAAAAGCTCTGAGGCTGGACCCTCCTTCATTTTGGTACAGCATGGACAAATCTTGAGTATCCACATTCAGTTTAGTTACCTTATGTATTCTCTGTGGGCAGCTGCCATTCCTTCTACCCTTCTCCCTGCCTTCTTTCTTTCCTTTTTTTTTTTTTTTTTTTTTTTTTTTTTTTTTTTTCTTTTTTTTTTTTTGAGGCAGGGTCACTCTGTTGCCCAGGCTGGAGTGCAGTGGCGCAATCTTGGCTCACTGCAAGCTCTGCCTCCTGTATTCAAGTGATTCTCAGCCTCCCAAGTAGCTGAGATTACAGGGGTACACCACCACACCCAGCTAATTTTTGTATTTTTAGTAGAGACAGGGTTTCACCATGTTGGCCAGGCTGGTCTTGAACTCCCGACCTCAGGTGATCCACCTGATTCAGCTTCCCAAAGTGCTGGGATTATAGGCGTGAGCCACTGCGCCCAGCCTTCTTTCTTTGCCTTGTGCCAGCCCCTGGCAAAACTCAAGACTGTAAAGTTTATCTTGGCCCACCTGTCCCCTGCCCTCCGCAGGCCTCTGCCCTTCACCCCTGTGGCCCCACTGTTATTTAACTGCAGTACTGTCTCCTCCATTAGATTAGGGCTTCTCCAGAGTAGAGACTGTGTCTTCCACCCTCCCACCTGTTACACTGGGAGTGCCCCAGGGCAAGGGGCTCATCTTGGATTAGGGTCTCCACGCAAAGGACAGTTGATACTGTAAGCTGGGTCTGAGCCCAGGGCCCAGCTGTTAGTGGGCTTGAGAGGTGCCTGGCCACTCCTCAGGGCTCTGTCCTATGTGTCCCTCCCCAGCATCTCCCTGGAATCACTCCATCCTTGCCCTGGCGGCTGTGGTGGTCATGATAAGCATGTTCCTCCTGGGAAGGAGCATCCAGGCAAGCAGGTGAGGAGCTGGTCCTGGGGGGATGAGGTGGTCTCTGAGGGGTAGAGGCCCTGCCTTCCCAGAGGGAAATCTAGAGAGGGGTCACTTAGGGATCATGGCTGTCTACCCTTTGGGACAGCAAAATTCAGCCTTCAGTGTCCTTCGAGAACCCAAAGCTGTTAAAAACAAAACAAAACAAAAAACAGCAACAGTCCCTGATTACCACCCCCTGGCCCTGGACAGGAAGCAGGCATGACCTGGAGGAGTGTAGCCATTCAGAAGGGGAGCTTGCCCCTCTCACCCTGTCAGGACACATGCACCTCAGCAAGGTCAACTCAGAGATGAGTGGCTGTCCACAGGTACAGCAGACCTGTTCCCCCTACGACCCAGGCAGAATCTCTGGGCTGACAGCTTACCCCCACTGGGTCCCTCCACTATGGCCAGGAAGTCTAGGGGTACCTTGAATAAAACCAATCTGGAGAGAGGACAGACTCGTGAGAGTTATTAGAAGGTTAAGGAAGTGGGTAGTGGGAGCCAATGAAGGTGGTTGGGGGAGGGGAGTGATGTGTACACGATGGGGTTTTAGAAACATGACTGGTGTTGTGCCTAGAATGGTTTAGAGAAGGAAACACCCAGAAGCAGAGAGATTAGTTAGAAATTTCCTGCAGTAGTGTGAGGGATGAGGTGTGTGGTAACAAGGACCTGTGCTAAGTAGGATAACAGTCCAAGGTTAGAGACAGTGTGGTTAGGTGAAATGAACACAGGACTCAAGAGTCAGGAGGCTTAAGTGCACACCCTAACTATGTGCATCCTTAGCTTTTTTTTTTTTTTGAGACAGTCTCTCTCTTGCCTAGGATGGAGTGCAATGGTGCAATCTCAGCTCACTGCAACCTCTGCCTCCCAGGTTCAAGCGATTCTCCTGCTTCAGTGTCCCAAGTAGCTGCAATCACAGGCACAACCACACCCAGATAATTTTTGTATTTTTAGTAGAGACGGAATTTTGCCATGTTGGCCAGACTGGTCTCAAACACCTGGCCTCAAGTGATCCACCCGCCTCAGCCTCCCAAAGTGCTGGGATTACAGGCATGAGCCACTGCACCTGGCCTCCGTGAACTACATTTCCTCACTTGGAAGGTGGCGGCGGGGGGCGGGGGGGTGGCAATGATACTTGAGCTCACAGGTGACAGTAAGGACTCCCTGAAATGACACACATGCAAGCGTAAGTCATTTCTCTGTTGAGGGAATATCCAACTATTGCCACTTCTCCCCCAACTGCATACAGACTGCATACAGAATTTTCCCTTCAGATTCTTTAAGCCATTTGGGAGACCCAGTCCTGCCCCAACCACTCAGCCCCCCTGATTAACACTGTTCCCTGTCCCTCCAGAAAACAAAAGATGCAACCACCAGAAAAAGAAAATCCAGAAGTCCTGCATTTGGATGAGGCCAGAACCAAGGATCACAACAGCCTAAACAACCTAAGAGAGACTTTGCTCTCAGAAAAGCCAAACTCAGCCCAGGTGGAACTCGAGTTAAAAGAGAGAGATGTGCTGTCAGTTTTCCTTCCAGACATACCAGAAACTGAGAGCTAGTGAGAGTTCCGAGAAGTCCCACCCTAAGCCAGGCACATGATCTGGGCTCAGCTCAGTGGCCTGAAACCTCTCAGGTTTTACAGTCTCTCCCAAGCAGCCCACTTTTTTCTTTTTCTTTTCTCTTTCTTTCTTTTTCTTTCTTTCTCTCTCTCTCTTTCTTTCCTTCCTTCCTTCCTTTCTTTTTTAGCAGATACAATGAATGAACTGCAAGCAAACTAAAATTCTGTTATTAAAAAAAATCTTTTATTAAAATGCTCCTGGAAGTGAGCAGGTGGTATTGCATAGTTTGTTCACATGGCAGTGGTACACACACACATACACACACAAGTGGCCTGGAGCAAAAGTGCAAAATCCGTAGCTGGCCTGTGGGTCGGGAAGCCTGGCTAGGACTCCAAGCATGTGGTCTTGAGTAGTTCACAGCCCCGCTCTGACCTCAGCTCCTCTATTTACAGAATGAGACTGAAAACTGGGTCAGAGATACTGTTTGCAATACAACAGCAGTCCTGAGACTGCTGAGAGGGGAAGAAGCAGGCTTCCAGGCCCAGAATCCCCTTCCCAATCCTTCCAGCCACCAGGGCCCTCTCCTTTCCCTGCTTGTCTGCTAAGAGTCTGTGCAAGACTTCCCTTGGACCTGGCGTGTGGTAAACAAAATCAGACAACTACCACGCTGCCTGCCTTGGAGAGCCTTTTCTTGCCAACGGTGGGATCTGAAAGGAGTGGCCTGATCCCATGTCTGAGCCATGGTGTCCTGGTATAAGCTGCGGTGACACCACCAAATAACATATGCAAAAATTTGCTTTATTAACCCAAAATGCTTTAGGTTCTAAAGTGGGCTTTGAACACTCAGACTCATTGCTGAGGGTCCTGGGTCCTGCCAAACCAGACGACAAACGGGTATACTGTGTTTCCACCTGCAAGGGGGCAGGCCCTGTAGCCCCTGGATGGGTCTGATGCTGCTGTGGGCTCCCTGGAGCCCTGGGTAACTCACTGGAGTGACAACTTTCTTCTGCAGCCTGGATCATTAAACTTGACGGAGCTGGTCCTGAGGTTCTTTGGAGAGTCCTTAACAGTGGGAAGACACATGGGGAATCTGTCTGCTGGTGAAAGAACTCTGGGGCTCCTTACATTGGACAACCCACAGCCCCCTCCCTTTTATCCTCATTGAGACATCAAGTGTTGGAAATACCCCTTCCTGGGGCTTCTTCGCCCCGCCCAGGCTGTCCATTGGATTATTTTAACTAGATTTCCTTGAATAAACTGTGGGGTTTATAGCCTGGGCCTTCTGTGAATTCCTTGAATAAACTGTGGGGTTTGTAGCCTGGGCCTTCTGTGAAGTCAGCAGATGACAGGAGGGCCAGGCTCTGGCCTCTGAAATGGCAGCCGCCCTGCCTTTCCCGTCCACCAGGTGGCGCAAGGACCCCAGGGCTGTCATTCTGCAGGTTCCCGGGCCTGACATTGACAGAGCTATCCACCTAGACCGTCCACTAAGGGCCACAGCTGGCCCAACTGTAGCTGGAGCAGGAAGGGCTGATGGCAGCAGGATGGACACTGCAATTTCTTCCTACTTAAGGCTGAACCCAGGTCTCTGGGTTGTCACAGTGGCTGTTTCCCTCCAGGGCCACAGATGCGGTGGTTACCATGAAGACCAAGGCCTGGAGGGAACAGAAGCAGCATTCCTGCCTGCCACTGCAGCTCACACAGTGAACTGAGTGTAGGGACACTGCTTGGTGCTGGAGGTGGGGTCTGCTGTCCATCAGAGGGAAAAGCCGGTGGTGAGAAGCCAGCCCCTGCCCCGCTGCAGTCCTGTCCACCCACCGAGCCTGGGGTTCCTGGGGAAGGGTCCTCAGAAGATCTTGAAGCCCTTCAGGAGGGTCAGGGTAGGCGCCTTGCGCTTGCTCTGGGCCCGGGATGACTTCACGGTGACCAGCTTGGCCTGGGCCACGGTGGGCATCTCCTTCAGGCTGACAGTGGAGAGTGTGTTGAAGGTGCAGCTGGCCAGCCCATGTCGGGCGGTGAGTGGGGCCTGGTGGGGCAGGGCCCTCTCCTCGGAGATGAAGAGGGGCCGGGTCAGGGGGCTCTTCTCCAGCTCCCGCCGTGCCTCTCGAACTGCCTCATGGAAGACGTGCTGCACGTGCTCAAAGTCCAGACAGGCAGAGACCTCGAAAAACAGGCACCCAAACCTGCCTGCCAAAGCCACACCCTCTGCCTTGGTGACTTGCCTGGTGAGGAAGCAGGGTGAGGCAGGGAGTTAGGAGCAGGCTGTGCCAAATCAGGCAGACCAGCTCCTACACCCGGTGCCCCATGGACTAGCTGGGTGGCCTGGGGTCATCTTCACTGCTCTGAGTCTCAGTGTTCTCATAGGTACAATGGATTACTGACCTTTGCCCCTCAGGGTTGTTCGGATTACGAAAGACAATTTGTTTCAAGTGCTTAACACAGTACCTGGCACAGAGTCAGTGCTCAATAAATGGTAGCTGATGTCACCCAAGCGAGAATTTTGGGGTGAGGATGAGGGTAAGAAGCTACTCCAAATCCCCTATGCTAAACCCTGCCTGTGACTGGAGGAAGCAGGCCATTCCCAGCCCCATCTCTTCTCTACCCCAACATGGGTCCCTGGGGCAGGAAACGGGCCACCCACAGCTCTGGCTTGTGGGATCAGCTCTAGAGAGAAGCAGTCGTTTGGATTGAAGGGTTAGACCACAGAGGTGACTCCAGAAGCCTGTGGTTGGCAGAGTTCTCAGGGCTCCTGGGGTGTTCTGTCTGCCTCTCCAGGACAGAGGCAGGAGAGGGCAGGGGTGACAACATTTCATGGTGAGGAGGGCAAAAGGAGAGAGGGGGCAACACCTATTCTGGCTTGGTCCTACACCACCTCCCGTGAAGGGAGGATAGAATATCCGAAACTTGGGAAGGTCGTGGAGGTTTCTGACCTGAAAGCCATGGGAATCGAGGTGGGAGGAAAAAGAAGACTGGCTCTTGCGTAGGTCGGATGTCTAGAAGAGGGAAGAGACGGGGGGGTCCCTGAGGTCTTGGGGCCGAGATTCCACTGGCTGCATCTTCCTGCCCTACTGCTGAGCTGTCCCACTGCTCACTGCCGAGGATAATGGCACAGCCACTAGATGAGAGGAGGCACTCGTGGGCCATGGCAGGAAAAGTTTCTGAGCCCAGGGCTGATCTGGCAGGAGCACGGGCTGAGAGTGGGCTAGCTGCCCCGGGTGCCACTCCATGGTGGGGGGAGTCTCAGAGAGAGTGAGTGACTGGGACAAAACGAGTCAGAGGCATGGAATCTATTCCCCACCCAGGGCTGGTTTCTGCCAGTAAGCTCACCGCTTCCTGAGGAACCGTTATGGAAAGAACACTTGCTATTATATGCTTTTATGATGAGCTTGAATCTGCAACTTTGTCATTGTGGGGGCTTGAATAATGAATTTTCACAAACACAAACCCCATGTGTGTGTGCACATGTGTGAGTGGGTGACAGAGGCACAGAACATTGTTCTTTTTCTTATTTTGTTGCATCCTAGTGAAAATTTTATCAGTGGCTTGGGAAGCACCAACCTAACCCAGATTTTACCCTTCAAACCGTGAGACAGTCATGGGAGACAACGACCAATGCTCAGCTAAAAGTTAGACTTCTTGTGCTTCCCAGAATCTCAATCTACTAAACTCGGGACTTGATCGAAGAATGAAATAGGAATACATTGTCCTAAGTTGTTTTTAGGGAACGGGTGGGATCAGCTTCATTTGAGCATGTATTCTTTGTTATTTGCTCCCAAACCATTTTAGACAATCTCTTTGGCAAAGATTGGAGTCAAAAGAGTGATTCGTAGTTTTTTTCCCTGTATTGAAACTGGCCTACTCACAATCCAGTTTTCTGACCCCTAAGAGGGTCTGCGATTCCTCAAAGACTACCTTCAGCAGCTTTCAGGTCACATGACTTCCCTCATTCACGGAGACACAATTTGCCTGGGTCTGAGGGCTTGGCCACCTTTGAAGGCCTCTCACCATAGTCTACCTTCATGGTCCCACACCTCTCTTTTTCCCACTGCCCATCTGACCCGTTCTAAACAAAGGGTCCCCTCCTTGTTAACACCAGTCAATGTGCCCTCGGGGCCTAGGGAAGCAGGACAGACCGCCCGTGAACAAGGAGGGATGAGTGGCTGGTGGAAGGGGCTATCCCTTGCAGGTAGACTGGCCACAGATGACAAAGGTCAGTGCTGGAGAAGTTCAGTGGCATTACTCATTAAGTTCAGGCATCACAGTGTCAAATGCCTCAGGGCCAGGCAGGCAACTTGAATGTGTGGAGAGGGTGGAGGTAAACCATGGGGAGCGGCGAGGCCTGGGGTCGGCTGGAGAGAGCGTGCCCCACCTCAAAGCATTCCAGTTCTAGGTCTTTTAAGACACTATGCCAGCCAAGCAAAATATGGCTGCAGTATTTTTCAGTAATGCGTCCTCTGGCCCAGTCTCTGACCTCTGATTTGAGTCCAACACTTTTTAAGAGAACCTGCCGTCAGCCCAGTCAACTGTGGGAGTGAGTGTGGGAGGCTGGGTCTGGGTGAGGGGAGGGCCGGTTGGACCAGAGCAGACACCTGACCAAGGAGCCAATCAGAGCCTCTCTCCTTAGAATTGGAATCGGGCACTAGATCAGTCAGCTGCTGGGAGTGGGGCCGGAAGGTCAGAATAGACTCAGGCAAGAAGGGTGAATCCAAGAGAATCCACAGAGACCCAAGAGGGAGGAAGGAGTGGCTGCTCTTCTGACTTTCAGGGTGTAGCCCCTGTGTGACCCAGAAACCTTTCCCTTTAAGTCCTTGGCTGCCTGGAAGACCAACATCTACAATACCTTTATAACATAATCCCTTCGGCCGGGCACGGTGGCTCACGCCTGTAATCCCAGCACTTTGGGAGGCCGAGGCAGGTGGATCACGAGTTCAGGAGTTCAAGACCAGCCTGGCCAACAATGTGAAACCCCGTCTGTACTAAAAACACAAAAATTAGCCAGGGATGGTGGCAGGCACCTGTAATCCCACCTACTGGGGAGGCTGAGGCAGGAGAATCATTTGAACCCAGGAGGTGGAGGTTGCAGTGAGCTGAGATGGTGCCACTGCACTCCAGCCTGGGTGACAGAGTGAGACTCCGTCTCAGAAAACAAACAGACAAACATATAATCCCTTCTACCTCAATTCAAGGGGATGACTGTTCTTAGCAGCCCACTAATCCCTGAAGATGCCACCTGCCCTTACAAGCGAAGAAAGCGAGCTCTGGAGACAAGGGCCAAGCAGGCCGTGCTCACCTGTACTGAGCCATGTCCAGCTTGTTGCCTAACAGCAGGGCAGGGACGCTGCGCTGTGTCTCCTTCGCGTGCAAGGCAAGCAGCTCCAGGTAGCTGCTGCTGCTATCGAAGCTCTGGCGGCTGTCGACGCTATACACCACCAGGAAGGCATGGGCCCAGTTCAGGTAGCGCTCACAGTTCCTGGGGGTGTCCTGGGGTGAAGGAGAGAAGCCCCACCAGAGGAGGGGCAGAGAGGTTGGGGTAAAGGCCTTCACCTGAGCCGTCCAATCCCACCTCCCCACTCCCCGGGCTTTGTATATTGTTTCCCAGCAGAGCCCTTTCAAAGGGGCACTTGAGTGTGGATTTGGCTTGGTGTGAAAGGAGACATTGTCTCATGAACCTCCCTCCCACCACCCAGCCAGAGACTTGAAGACCTTGGCCCCTTGGGCCCAGAGCCAAAGACTCTGGCATGGTCCCTACAGAGACCTGGCTGTCCCTGGGCACCACTGGTTCTGGGTTAGGTTCATGCTGCCCCTTTGGCTTCTGAGAGTAACTGGCATCCAGCCTTGGCAGGGGGTGGTGAGGACATGGGTGGAGACTTGTGTGTGGGAGAGACCTGGGCTAAGGGGATCTCACCAGGAGCATCTGTGTAAACAGGTGTGTACCTGCCTCCTCGTGTGCACAGGCACAGAGCCCCACAGCACAAGATCTCAGAGCGGATGCCAGCAACCATCATGTCTCTCCAGGCCCCGTCCCATCCTTCTCATTTGGCAAAGAAAGGATTCAGACCCACAGAGATCAAGTGCCTTATTCAGGGTTACATAGCAAACTTGAGCTTAAAAGGCATCTAAATGCACATCTGAGGCCTCGCGCTCTGGGCCAGGACTTCTCAGGAGGCCACAGTGACTCGCAGCAGTGCATAGGTAATGGAGGTAATGTTACCAGGTCTGCAGTGTCCATGACCCTCAGGTGGACAGGCTGATGGTCCACGGTCTCCTCGGAGCTGTAGGTGTCCTCTACAACACAGATGGTTAGCCAGGTCAGACACAGTGCCTTGGGTGTAAGTTTGAGCTTCCCTCTGTGCTAGACCCATGTGGCCTTGGGGGACCATAGGAGCTGCTCTGGGGCTGGGACCACTGGAAAGTCCTTGGTTCTCACAATCATGGAGGCTACAGGCAGGCCCTCCCACCAAGGAGATGCTGCTCCACCTGCAGGACTCAGCATCAGTGGTTACTCACAGACCATGGCTCGGGGGCGGGACTGTGTTCTGGACCTACACACAAAACCAGCAGGATAGAGCCAAGTGTGTGACCCCTAGACCCTGCTAGCAGCACAGGCTGGCTCAGGAGCAGCACTGCTAGCCCCTCTATCCCAGAACCCCAGTCTTTCCCACCTTCTTCCCTTCCGACCACCCTCCTGCCCGCAGTAGGAGAAAAGACAAGGGAAAAGAGAAGTACATGATACGATGGAAGGACGGCAGTCAGACCCCCTTTAGAAGTTCCAAGAAGGTTTTACAAACAATCCTTGTCAACATGACAGCAGGGGAGTCAGTCTAGTGTAGTCAGAAGTTTTCAGTTGGAGAATGTGGTATTAAACCCAATGCCAGCTACTTTTTAGCTTTGTGACTTGGCCAAATCACTTCAGCTCTCTGAGGCTGTTTCCTCATTTTAAAACAGGAACACTATGATAACATTGCTAACAGTTTCCAAGCATTTCCTCTGTCCCAGGCGCTGTGCTAAGTGCTTGACATTAGCTCATTTAACAGTCCCATCTCCCAGGGCTCTGTAAGAACTCGATGGGCCCCCCTGGGCATGGGGCCTGGCTTACCACACATGCCTGGTGAGGACAGTGGGAACCATGGTTCTCCAAAGTTAATAGGGCAGGATCACATTCCCAGGTGATTTTTTTTTTTTTTTTACTTTTGAAATACTTTAGACTGACATAGAAGTTGTAAAATAGTACAGAGTTCCTGTGTACTCTTCACCCAGCTTCCCCCAGTGTCATCACCTTACATAACCACAGCCCAATGATCAAAAAGAAACTTACATTGATACCATACTATGAACCAAACTAGTGACCTTATTTGAATTTCTCGAGTTGTTACTCTATATATATACATACACACATATATATACACACACATATAGTTCTCATGATCTCAAATCTGAGAAGGCAGCAAGTGGCCAGGCATGCAGAGGACCTCGCGGCCACGTTGGCAGTCATTCTCCCCAACCCCAATCTGTGCCTGTGTCATTGGCCCACATGTGTGAGTGTACTTGGTTATTACCTTTCCCTAGGTGTCCCCTGCCCCTAGTGGCCCTAAAGAAGACCCCTTTTGGCAGAATTGGGATGGTCTCTGCCCTCCTGGCAGCACCCACTGTGAGAGGGCACACTCCCAACCCTGGCTGAATTTATAGTCAAACACGTCTCTCTGAGGGCTACTGGCAGCCAAGCCAGTCTGGACACTCTCCAGGTCCACTAGCATCCAGCATGAATCACAGACAGCTTCTTGTCCCCAGCCTGCTTTGGGGACTTGGATAAATAGCTGCTCTTATGCAAAGACAAAAAAAAATCTAATGGAAACTATGTTCCAAATGTTTAACTATATTTAGTCCAAGAAGAGCTGCCCCTAGTTGCTTACATCTCTTTCAGATGTCTTTATTTTCCACTCAAAGATGTCAGATGCACCCCTTTTAGGGGTTCCCCCCAATGGGTGCAGTGTTCTGCCCAGCCCAGTGAAAGGCGCTAGCCCACCCTTGGTCTCCTGCCGACAGCAGGACAGCCTTTCAAGGTTGCTGTTAGCTCCATTGTAGAGAGATGACAAGGTGAGGCCCAGAGAAGGGATCTCGCCCAAGGCCACACAGCACCTAATCAGCAGTAGGAACTTGAACTCAGGGCTTCTAGGCTGGGCTGTGTTCACATTGGGACTCCCTCACCCCGTGACTGCTCAGTGAATCAGCCTGCCCTCCAGCTCTGTCTGGGCAGAGTATGAGGAAAGATCAGAATCGCCCAGTCCGGCAGAGATGTGGAACATGGCTGTATGAGCTGGAAGAAGCCTTGGCGCTCATACTGTCCAGCCTCCCTTTACAGAAGAGGTGATGGGCCTCAGGGGCTGGGGCAGGAGTGAGGGGCTCCTTTCCCAGTCACAGTAATGTCCAGACTTCCTATCACCAAGTCCCTGCCTCAGAGTACTCTGGTGTCCTTAAATATAAGGGCTTCCTAACACCTGGTTCTAATTAATAGTCTATGGACTTTTGTGCTGAGAGAAGAGTCATTTCCCAAAGTTTTGAATTTGTCAATGTTTTCTTCTCATTCACAGTAATAATTTTTTAAATGGCACCACAGAAGCTCACATCAGAGTGTATATAGGGTGCTGCCTCAGAAATGGTGCCTATATCCTTGCTGGAGGAGGAGGAGGGCAAGAAGAGTAAGAAGCTGACATTCTCCCCTGGCTGAGCCAGATGAGGCACGCTCAACCCTTCTGGGAGAGGAGAATATTCTCCTGGAGACCCCTGCCCACTCCTGTGGGGCTCAGCACAGGCAAAGCCCTTCCACAGACACTGAATCTCTCAGCTCCATACCCCAGAACACAGTGCAACTCTTACACAGTCAGAGCACAGGCTATTGGTCCCATCTTCCAGATGGGGAAACTGCATCTCAGAGGGCCCTGTGCCACACAGACCTCTGACTCCAGGCCCTCTATGACATGAGGCTGCTCCTGGCGGAGAGCAACTGGAGCCATGCCTGGTCTTCCTTTGTGCCTGAGGGTCTCCATAATCTTAAGGCAAATCACTGGACCCTCTCTTCCTCCATGTCTTCACCTATAAAATGAGGATCATGATAGGAGTTCTTCTTTAAAGGGTAATCCTAAAACCAAAATTTACCCCCACAGTTAAACTCTCATCTACACTGAGGCTAGTACTGTGCTACCTGCTGGAAACGGGAATGAATCTCCATCCTCCAGGCTCACCAAATGAGCTCAGGCTCTCAGAAGACCTAGGAAGGGCATAGAGAGTGGTTTTACCAGCATTACTGATGGCTAGCTCTCCGGTGGTGGAGAGCTTTATCCACAGAAGGAAAGGTTCTCGTCTCAGTCTCTGCTGCTGCTGCTGCTGCTGGAAACAACAATGGGACAGTGGCCGGAATGTTCAGGCCCTTCTCAGCAGAACCTTCGAGGAGTGGCACAGGCCTCCCAGAGAGTCTGAGGGGAGAATGTCTGGTTGGCTCTCTGACTCGTGGGCTGTCAGTGCAGTGTGAGAGACCACAGGCCGAGAGGACTGACCATTGTGAGGCTGCCCACTTCCCAGACAGTCTGCCCACGCATTCCACTACCAGGTCAGAACTCCAAAATTACTCAATCAGGAGGCTCAAACCACCACTGTAATAGGCTCATCCGGTGGGACTCTGTGACAGTATGGATTGGAAGGCAGGGAGGAAGAGAGACTGGAGGTGAGTTGCCAGGAAAAATACCAGATGCCCAGTTAAATCTGAATTTCAAACAAAAAGGAATAATTTTTGGTATAAGCATGACCCATGCAATATTTGAATTAGGCCGAATATGTCTTTTGAGGCCCTGTCCTTGGGAATCCCCCTTGTCCTTTCCCAGACACCATGTCTGCTTGTGTGCCTTTCCTTCCTGTCCTCCCACCTCACCTCTGTCCTCAGTTTCTCCACCCCATCTCTATTCCACGCTCTGGCCTCTCCCAACACCTCACCGGCCAGCACACCATTGTGTCCTGTGTCCTCCTCTCTCTGGAGCTGACCTCTGCTAACCAAAGGGCCTCCTCTGGGTGACCTTGGCCCAGAGTCCTCAGCTCCTTGGGCCTGTTTCCTCCACTGTAGCACTGAAGGGCTGTGCCAAGGCCTTGGCACAGGGATCAAGCAGAGCTTCGAGGAACAAATCCCTTAGGGACTGTCACCATGTCACCTGCCCTGAATCCCTGACTTATCCACGGGAACCCCTTTGCTCTCTCTGTTTGACACGCTGGGGTTCTGTTTAAAATTTGGAAGAAGGGATTCTGCTACCTAAGGAAAAGCTTTTTTAAACCAGGGGACTAAATAGCCATGATGTCTCTGCCTGCTCCAACACTGTGATTTGGTGCTGGATTCCAGCCTGAACTAAGGGGTTGGGCACCACTAGGGTAAGGAGCTCTCCCCTCCAGGTGCGGCAGAAGCACCATATCAGGGGCCTGCTGCAGGCAGTGCAGGGGGTTTCCACTTGTGTCACAGAGCCTTGGGCTTCTTTGGAGGGCTGTCAGGGGTCCCATGAATGCTTTATTTGATTTGTATGAATGGGGAAAATAATCCAAGACTACAACATCCATTTTCAAAAGGCTAAGTTCATCCAGACACCTTATGGCTCTCAGTGAACAGTTTACAATAGACAAATGTTATACACGTGAGCTTTAAGCAACACTTATACTAATAAAATCCTGCTTTGATTTGTTTTAGAAGGGAATCTAAGCCATTGTGTACAGGAAGCCATTTGAGGAAGGAAAAGCAAAAATGCATTGAGTGCCTACTGTGGGTCAAGTACTATGCTGGATCTTTTACATGTGTTATTTCTTTAATCCTCACAGCAATTCTCTGAGATAAGTATTGTTTAATGCCCATTTTACAGATGAGGAAACAGTAGCTCAGAGAGGTTAGCTGACTGGCTCAAGTTTGCCAATAAGGAGCAGAGCCTGGTAGGATTCAAACCCAGCTCTGACTGACACGGAAACATTCCTTTTTCCAATATACCATGACGCAGTGATAAAAACAAGAGTTGTTTTCTCATATAGTTAAAAAACTGGTTCAGAAGCCAGCACCACTAGAGAATTCCTCAAATGTTTGCCCAGCTTTTCTGGAAGAGAACACTGACCATCCTGAAGAATAATACCTATTTGTTTCTGAGGTTTTTTGTTTTTGTTTTTGTTTTTGTTTAGATGGAGTCTTGCTCTGTCGCCCAGGCTGGAGTGCAGTGGTGCGATATCGGCTCACTGCAACCTCCAACTCCCGGGTTCAAGCAGTTCTCCTGCCTCAGCCTCCCTAGAAGCTGGGATTACAGGCATACACCACTACACCCGGCTAATTTTTGTATTTTTAGTAGAGACGGGGTTTCACCATGTTGTCCAGGCTGGTCATTAACTCCTGACCTCAGGTGATCCACCCGCCTCAGCCTCCCAAAGTGCTGAGATTACAGGCATGAGCCACCGCGCCCGGCCTAAGAATAATACCTGTTTGGATGTGGATGTCCTGCTATGTTTATTTTTATTTTTTTAAGTTCCATCATACTTCATATTTTAGGGTAAATCAGCCTTTCTTAGTTCTGTGAATTAGGCCAATCCCCCAATTGTCTGGGGTGGGCTGTGGAAGGGGTATTTCTGACACCTAAAACACTTTCCCCCATGGGCTGGGTCATCCTGGCGGCTTCTCCCTTCTGTCCCCAGACATGCAGTCCTGGTCAGTGCCCACCCACAGGGTAGGTCCCAGGGGAGCACTCCAGGTGGGGCGCAGGCAGCAGAGGGTACAGGGAGGAGTAGTTTCTTACCCAAGTTGGGGTCATATTCACTGATAAACCTCTTGGTCAGAAACTTCACGGTCAGGGCTGCAAGAAGCAGAAAGAGGTTGGCTCCATCTCTGCTGCCATGTCTAGCTGCTGGCCCCTCGTTTTAGGGAGGCCTTATCTAACCTCTGTGATCTCTGACTGACATGAAACTCAGCTCTCCCAGAGAATGAAACTAGGGAACTGAGGAATTGGTTTGAGAGGCTCAGAAGGAAACCAGAAATATGGGGAACCAAGTGCCTCTAGTTGCACCAGGAATTTTTCTTTTCTTTTCTTTTTTTTTTTTTTTTGAGACGGAGTTTCATTCTTATTGCCCAGGCTGGAGTGCAATGGTGCGATCTCCGCTCACCGCAACCTCCGCCTCCCAGGTTCAAGCGATTCTCCTGCCTCAGCCTCCCTAGTAGCTGGGATTACAGGCATGTGCCACCACGCCTAGCTAATTTTGTATTTTTAGTAGAGACGGGGTTTCTCCGTGTTGGTCAGGCTGGTCTCAAACTCCGACCTCAGGTGATCCGCCCGCCTCGGCCTCCCAAAGTGCTGGGATTACAGGCATGAGCCATTGCGCCCGGCCGGGAATTTTTCTTAATAGCAAGGAAAGCAATGAGTGGCGAGCCTAAGGGGTGTTTGTGAAGGTATGAACTTAGGGGTCAGGACCCATGCAACCATTACCCTAGAGTCAGCCTGTTGAAACCTCAACTGAAGGGAGGTGTCGCCCACCCCGGACAAGTCATAGAGATTCTGAAATATGGGGCTATTTATTCCAGGACGAGCAGAGTTGATCACAGTGGTTGATCCTTGGGAAGGGTATAAATCCCCAAGCGCCTGGGCTTTCCAGGTAAGGTCCAGGTGAGGTCTGTGTCCCGAAGAAACACACTCTGGTCCTGGTCTCCCACATCGCAAGTCTTGGCTCTCTCTGGGGCCTCTACACTCATCACGGGTATCTCGGCAGAATGTAAAACTCAAGAATTAAGCTCTCTGGTTCAGAGTGTAGCCACATAAAGCAAGGACCAGCCAACTACTATGCTGGACCCTCAAAAAGTAATGTTCCCTACTGCTTGTTTGGAAAGAGAGAAAAGAAAAGAAAAAGAAAAACAAAAAGAAAAGAAAAGAGAAAGAGAAAGAGAGAAGAAAGAAAGAAACAGAAAGAAAGAGAAAAGAGAAAGGAAGAAAGAAAGAAAAAGAAAAAAAGAGGAAGGGAGGGAGGGGAGGAAAGGAGGGAGGGGAGGAAAGGAGGAGGGAGGGAGGAAAAAGAGAAAGAGAGAAAAAGGAAGGAAGAAAAGAGAAAGAAGTAAAGAGAAAGAAAGAAAAGTAATGTGATGCTTATAATTCCAGTGCTTTGGGAGGCCAAGACTGGGGTATTGAGACCAGCCTGGGCAATATAGTGAGACCATATCTCTAAAAAAAATAGAAAAATTAACCAGGCATGGTGGTGTGCCTGTAGTCCTAGCTACTCAGGAGGCTGAGGGGGAAGATCGCTTGAGCTCAGGAGTTTGAGGCTGTAGTGAGTCGTGATCGCACCACTGGACTCCAGCCTGAATGACAGAGATACTGTTTAAAAAAAAAAAAAAAAAGTGATATTGTGAATAGAATCCTTAAAATTCTTTCCTAGGATTCGTAACAGTGTCAGTTTGCAAACTAATTCTCAGGGAATACATATTTTAAATTTAAATTATTTCTTTTATGTAGTCACTGGCTAAACGGTACCAGTTACAGAGCTACGGATAACAATCTGATTTTCAAAGGGCAAATCTTTCAGAGGAAGAGGGTAATCCCTTCTGTAGGAAAACCACACTCAGAGTCCCCTCTCCGACGGGAGTGGGGCTGGCTTCAGAATCAGAGTAGGCCCCCAGCGAGCCTCACAGAACACTGGGGAGGAAACCCACAGCCAGCTGAGCTTGGGTTGGCCATCAGTAATGGCTAAAACTGGAAAAACAGTCAGTGGAGAACCCCCTCTGCCCTCCCTCCTTCAGCCGGCCAGGAGTGGCAGAGTTCAGTGTTGACACAAATTATCTCAATGGAAGCCCAAGATCTTGGCTCATCAAGGACAATCCCAGGCAACTGGAACCATAACCCAATGTGTTTCCAGAAAGTTGAGAGGGGTCTGGTTTGAAACAAACACATTTGATAAGACTGCACAACTTGTCCCAGAATCCCAGGGAATGGGGATGGGAGTTGGGGAGTGGACCTTCCCTGAAAAATCTCAACAGCTAGTGATTTCACCAGCTCCTTTCCACGGGGAGGGGGTGTGGAGGGGGAGGGGTTGGACGGGAAGTCTTTCCCGAAGCCTAATCAGGGAGTAGCAAGGCTGCGACTAAGCTCAAAGAGGCGCCTTGGACGGAGGGGGCGGAGGGGGAGGAGGGGGAGGAGGGGGCGGGGGGGCTTTCAGTGCCCAACAGGTCCCTTTAGAGTCAGTCGCCAAGACTGACTGCTGGCCCCAGGGCAGGTCATAGGGTTAGGGGTTGGAAGGTTGGTGGCAGGGCAGACCGATCCATAAAGGACTCCGAGACACAGAGTAAGAGAGAGGGGAGAGAGAGCAGGGTCACTGACACGGAGGACAGAGACAGTGGGAAGACACAAAGGGAAGAGGCAGGCAGGGAACAGAAGACAGAGATGGAGGAGCGGAGCACAAAGCCGAGAGAAGAGAAAGCTTGGCAACAGGGAAACTGAGGCAAAGAAAATCACGGTGTCTTGTGCGACCCTCCTGGGTGAAGGAAGCTCCCCAGGCGAGTGGAAGAACCTGCCCCCAAGAGCAGAGCGCACTGTCCCCCCCACCCACGCCCAGTTCCGCACCTGGCGGCTCAGGTTCCCCGGCACCACTCACCAGACTTGCCAGCCCCGCGGCGCCCCAGGATGGCCAGGTTGACCTCGAGGGGCGTGATCTGAGGCCCGCTGCCCGCGCGGGGTTTTCCAAACACCGAGGACATGGCGACGCCCTGGACAGTCACGCAGGTCTGCGGCCGGTGGGCCCCGCGCAGTACGCCCGCCCGTAGGGGCCCAGGGGAGCAGGACGCAGGCTTCCCTGGCGCGCGCGGCCCCGGACCCGTCGGCGTCCGCGCCCTCAGCCCCACGTCCAGCGGGCTGCCACCCCGCGGGAAGGAGGGGCCGGTGGAGCCTGGCGGGCGGGGCCACCCCAAGCGCCACCAAACTCCTTGTAAGGTCTGCGGAGCCCCCCGTGGGGCGCGCTCACCCGGCTCCTGGAGCCGGGGGGGAGCTCCGGCCGGCCGCGCCCCCACCGCCGGGCTGGGCCTCGAGGACCTGGCCCGTCACCCTCCTGAGTGTCCCCGGACCCGGCCGGGAAGGAGCAGAGAGAGGGAGCCTCAGGGTTAGGGGGAGAGAGGGAAGGGATGTTTGCACTCTTCCCTGAACCTCCCACTCAATCTCTTTTCACCAGCAAGAAAATCCACCCCTCCCTTTGTTCTACCAAGCCAGCCCCGCCTCCTCCTCCAGGAAGCTTCCCGGGTTCAATTCCAAGCCTTGCCCTTTCTTTAGCTCAGCCTTGGCACTCTATATTCCCAATCACATTATTCTGCCCTTTCCTGTGAAGACTCCAGAGGCCTCACTGCAGAACCCATTCAGAATCCAGGCTTCTGGGAGAGGGGGCGGGGCGGAGAGAACCCCTTACTAACATTTCAGGGCCAGTATGGGTTCAGCTTCAAGACACCTAATCCATTCTGAATTACTGTCTCTCCCTAATGGGAGCTAATGAGTTGCATGTGTTTGTGGCCTGTTGTGTGAATGGGGTGTTTGTTCTAAAACCTGGCACCGCCTCTTGCCTACAGCAATTCTGGGATTGGTGGTGAGCCTGGCATGGGTCACCTGGTCATTCCCCTTGGGACTCAGGTTAAATCTGGTCATACCAAAGACAGGGCAAATGGCCCACACCACGAACCTGTACACTTAGGATCTAGCGCTAGCTCCTTCCCTGGAGTGATCTTGGGCAAGTCACCTTGCTTCTTTGGGCTTTGGTGTCCCCATCTATAAACACTAAAGGAAGGGGAAAATGAGGCAAAATAGAGAGTGACAGAATCAGCCCTGGGCTCCAGGCCTGCATACATTCTAGAACCCTGTGAGGCATCTCTTCTGGAGCACACACCAGGTTGGAGTGGGGAAAGGCACGGGGGCCTCAGAGACCTCTCACGGCAGCCCTTCTCCTTCCCCTTCCCCCAGATGGTTAACTCATCTACCCACCCACCCACAGAAGAACCATGGAAAACCAGGTGTACAGGCAGGGCCCAGGGTCAGAGCTGGACGGTCATAACGACTCTTCAATGAAGAACAATTATTTTCCTGGCCAGGACATGAATATTGACTCAGCCTAGTTGTGTTTTGGGGAAATCATGGTAAACCAGCTGTGTTATTAAGGTATCGGGTGGAATTTGTTTAGGTTACACTGTCAGGCCAGAATTAGTCA